AGCTGTCTTTTATTAATCAAGACATTAAAGAAATTTCTAAAAATGTAATACAATGCCAGTCTTAATTTTTTGTTTTAAGAAGTTATTTTTCATAAAAAATATTTTATTTGCATGAACATGTAATGGGTTTATTATTTTAAGTGAATTAATAAATTAATATTTAAACCTTTTCTCAGTTGTAATTTTGAATATAGTAAATATCAACAGATATAACCCAGATAAACAAAAGCACTTTGGGTCCTCAATAATTTTTAAGAATGCAAAGAAATCCTGAGTCCAAATGAAACTGCTACCATCTCTCTTCAGTTACTGAAATTAGCCTTATTACAGCTAGAGTAAAGCATCTAAATGCATATCTAATAGGTCAAACTTGTGTTGGAATCCTTTCAACAGCTTGCTGCTCTTCTTTGCATCAAGACTAAACTCCTTTCAATGACCCACAAATCCTGTGTGATCAACTTCCCCCGTCTTTCCTAAATCCATTCTCTTCATTCTCTGATACAATAATCTTTTTTCAGTAGAGTCCTTAAACGCACCAAGCCCCACCTGTCCACAGGACCTTTGCACAGCCTCTTCCTTAGGCCTGAAGTGTTCCCCACTCCTCCCTTTTGCCTAGTTCAGATCTCATTGTTCTGATCTTACCTCAAACATTGATTACCTGATCTTCCTTACCCCCACCTTCAGGTTAGATCAGGTTCATCTTTTATATATTTTTATGGCTCCCTGCATATTTCTCTCATAGAATTTACCAGTTTGGGAGATTATACTTTTGGGATTATGTGATTTAATAGCTCTTTCATTTCACAAAAGAATATACATTTTATAATCATATGTATAAAACTATCAAATAAAAATTTTTCTGTGTGTCATGTGCATTTTCCCAAGATCAGTAGTTCTTTCTCATCAGATCCTCAAAAGTGTCCATGACACCTGTGTAGTGAAAAATTAACCTTGCGGAAAGAGAGTGCTGGCCTTTGCCCTTGGCTACTGGGAGGTGGTATCTAGGGCCCTGGGATTTCTTACCTAACAGGAGTGTCTTTGTTTGCCTGGGGCCTTTGGCCACTGGAGAAAAGTGATTCGTAATGGGGGCTTTCTGCCACACTTTATCAGTTCCAATCCTGAGAGGAAACTGAGACTAAAAGCATTAGCGTGACCTACAGGAGGGGCTAGAAACTGAGGTCAGTATGTGGGCAGTTTTAATGGAGCCTCAATAAAAACTCTGGGCTTGGGTGAGTTTCTGTGGTTGGCTATACCCTATGTATTGTCACATACTGTGGCCTGAAAGCAGTAATACCATCCACAGCCCCATGGGGAGAGGATGACAGGAAGTTCTACATTGGGACCCCTTCAGATTCTAACCTGTGTGTCTCTTCTTTTGGCTAATTTTAATCTGTATCCTCTTCCTGTAATAAACCATAAGTATAATAGCTCTCAGTGAGTTCTTGTGAATTATCAAACCTGAGGATGGCCATAGGGGCTCCTAAACTTACAGCTGGTGTCTGAAGTGAGGGCAGTCTTGCAGGGACTATTCTCTCAGACTCTGCAGTTTGGCTAAACTCACTGCAACCAAAAAAAGGTTGAAAACCAATAGGCTAGACTATAAGTCCCTAGAGTAGAAACTTTATCAATATAATACAGTAAAAAATATAAGATATTTGAAATAAATTGATACTCTCAGGGTATCAATATTCTCTAACAATAACAGCAATAATGCTAATGATGATGAAGATGAAGATGATAAAAACAGCAACCCTTTACTTCATGTCCTTATTATACTCTCCATTTACAGATGAGAAACATGAGGGTTAGAGTAAAATGCCTTGCTCAAGATCACACCACTGATGACAGGCAGTATGTAAGCACTGATGTAACTAATTTTAAAGCCTATGCACTTTGCTATATTGTATCTCATAAGAGAAGCGAAGAAGTTTATTATATTTTGCAAAGGACATCTAGAAATATCCAGCATTATCATCACTAAAATAAAATTGTTAGCACTATTCAGGAATGTGGAATAATACTTAAGTTCCCCTCTTTCAACTAAGACTTAGTCATAAGCATTCTGATGCTTGCTTACAGCTTGTCTTTGAAAGTCTTCTAAATAAAATACAAGTTACATAGATTAAAAACAAATTTTAAAACTAATTTGTTGTATATTACCATCAAATGCTGAACACAAATTCCAAATACCTGAGGTGGATAGGTAACACTGCTGCCAAGAAAATCATCATATATGGTACCCTAATCTGTAAACAACGGGCACAAAGCTCTTTCTTACATTTTCTTTTACAAATTTTCCATCTCTTCCTCTCTAGTTTTCTCTCGCATCCTGGAACTGTCCTTAATGGCCTCTAAGAAAGGCTGAAGGGAACTAGAATCTGTTGGTCCATGCAAGACCAGCTGGATTGCCTCAAGCAGAATACTGTACTGAAAGGTCTTAAAGGCCTTTCCACCTTGAAACTAGACCTGTTCATCAATATGTAAATAAACACTGTTCTTATAACTATATACAGAGGGTGCCAAAAAAATGTATACACATTTTAAGAAAGGAAAAAACTGTATTAAAATTGTAACACTCAATACATACCGATAACAAAAGTCTGCAATTACAAGAGGTGCTCAAAGTGGTTACCATCAGCGTAATTTTAATAGTTTTTTTCCTTTCTTAAAATGTGTATACATTTTTCAGGTACCATCTGTATATATGTATATACATATAAACACATATACCGGAGGTGCCAAAAAATGTATACAAGTGGACACTTTGGTCAACGTTGCTCACGCAGTAGTTTGCCGTAATCAGAAGTGTCTGGATGCTGATCGTAACCACTTTGAGCACCTCTTGTAATTGCAGAAGTCAAACGTGACTTGCATTCATCTTTTGTTATCAGTATATATTGAGTGTTACAATTTTAATAGTTTTTCCTGTCTTAAAATTTGTATTCATTTTTTTGACACCCTCTGCATATACATATATATTTTTAGTAATCATAAGAAAACATAAGAAGGTATTCAGGCAACTAGCTGTAAGTAATTAATTACCTTAATTGTCTTTATGTAGGTCCAGAGCAAACATTATATATTGAATGCTATTTGTTAGATTACTTTAAAATTCACTATCATACTTCTACTAGATATAAAAACCAACAGTCAAGTTGTGCTATGTTAATTTTGGCAAACCAATCATGACAATAAAAATGTCTCAAGAGTGGATCAGTCTGGATCTACATCAAAAATTAATCATTAAAGGAGGACTGAGTGACATGAAATACAGGCAATAATATGAAGGAGAAAAAGTGAACATAAGTAAAGAATGGAAAAGAAGGAGGGACACACTAATGAATTAGACACACACACTGAGGCCCACAAATAACCCACAGAGACAGAGAAAGTACCTGGAAAGCTGTGAGTGCGCCAGTCCCTGGGTTATACAGGCATCGCAGCGAAGGCATGCTGTCCGCCAGGCTGGAGCAGCCCAGCCACAGAGACCTGGGCATAGAGCACTGCAGAGAGAGGACAACTATGAGATGGGACAGTATGAGACAGGATGGTACAGGTTACAGGAATTTTCAAGGCTTAGCTTAATGTAATATTCCAGTTGTAGCTGGCCTTTATGATAGAAACATCTTCAAGAAACATACATACTACTTACTAGTTCTAACCCCAGAGAGACTCAAAAGGGGGCACTAGTGGACACAAAGCAAGGGGAGGGGGGTTACAGACCAAAACCCCCAAATATTTAGTAAAAATTTTTTGTCCCTGTTCTATGTATGAGTCTAAAGGAAAGCCACTTCTTAATTCAATTAATCAATTCCTTTCCTCCATGCACCTCAACTCATCTCCCATAAATTCACCACAGGATGAAATATTGTGCAGACTAAGCAGAAAAAGAAATAGTTCATTTTAGCATTTCAATATTAGGAATGGTAAATTAGAAAACAAAATACCACAGGAAAGCTAATGTTTTTTTACAAGGTGGGGAGAAAGAAAAGAAAAAGTATTCTACCCCTACAGCTCTGACAGCAATAAACTTTGCACATAGTTTGCATATGTTTTATGTATCCTTGTTAGTCTGCTATTCATTAACCAAAATGCGTAGTTACCTTAGCAGCTGCCTCTTCATCTTTCCAGAGGGATTTGGGGGGGGGGGGCCAAGAAACAACCCAAACAGAAGGGAAAACAGCAACAAAGAAGGGGAGATCAAAAAAAAGAGAGAGAAAGAGAAAAAGGAAAAAAGAAACGAATAAGCTGCTGGTATTAAAACCTTCTAAACAAAAAAGCATGTGTGAATGTGAATATATATATATATATATATATATATATATATAGTATTCTGTAGGAGTGTAAAAAGGTAGAAATTATGATTTCTAGAAATACTAATTAAACAATATTAGTGTTATTGTTCCTATAGCTTTCTAAAACACTTTATCTTTTAGAAGAATTTTTATAGTCTTCAAGTTTCTCTAAAAGTATCCCAGGCTGAAGTTTTGTCCATCAACATGGGTGCTATTACAGGTCTAATAATACTTAAGAAAATGAAACACCTGAACACAGCGCACATCAAAACTGGAATACATATCTTAAAATATTGCAGTCAATGCACATAATACTGAATTTTAAATTATAAGTTTGGAAATATTAAATATCACTATGGGGCTTTTTTTTTCTTTTTAAAACACTTTAGTTATAAGAATTAATGTTAGGTATGGAGTGCAGCATAGGGAATAAAGTCAATGGAATTTTAACAGCTTTATACGATGTCAGAGGGGCAAGATTGGGGGAGAGGGGTTATCACTGTGAGGGGTGAAATGTCTAAATAGTACATTGTTCTGTACACCTGAAACTAATAAAAAATTAATACAATAAAAAGAATATTAGGAAACAAAATATGGTATTCATTTTTCACACTATCTATTACTGACATAAGGTTAGTATCCTGCAAAGGATTCCAGAAAATGATCTGGTGTAGACCCCTGCTTTCAGATCATTATTTGCTCATTTTATAGTTAAGGTGATTGATGCCCCGGATAAATTAAGTATTTCTCCATGATCATGAATTTAGAAAAGCAGAGAAGTAGGAACTAGAATCTTGGCCTATTGCTTTTTAGTGTGGAACTCTTTTTCCTGCCTCCATCCATCTCTAGGTCATAAAGTGGAGACAGCAGACTTCAAAAAAGGGTATCTGCTAAAGGCATCACTGGATAACATACTAACCAAAACAGCTAGATCGCTTTGAACTCCTACACAATCTCCTAACCTGGTTCACTGTTTCCAGTGTTTCTTCACCTCAAGCTACAATCCATGTTACAAACAGCAGCTAAATAGAATACTTGTGTTCACTTTAGCATGTCACCATATTCAATAATGCATAAGAGCTCCCTATATCTATTGCATGAAATCCAAGTACTGTATTAATCTGACCTTTCCCCACTGCCTACATTAACTCACCTTCTCTGTCCTTCCAAATAGCCTAGCACTCTAATTAACTACCTTGATATTTTTTTCAAATACCCATTTTACCCACATACCTTTGACTTGTAATTTCCTTCTCCCTTTCACATTGCAAATGTACATCTACCATTTATCTCTGTATCGTCTTAGAACTATTTATACAAATTTCAGTCTCATCCAGTGGTTCTCAGTAGCAGAGATTCTCATATTATGAGAAGGCAGCAGGGAAAAGAGAATAAGGAAGAGCAGGATTAAAAAAAAAGTTTCTTTCCCAGTGAGAACCACTATTCTACTCATATCACTACTCTACACTGGAAGCATCTGGTCTTCACTAAAATAGTTTTTGTAAGTACATGATGTTTAAAATTTCTAAGTCTAATGTTTGAGTCATGTTTTTCAACAAGTATTTATTGAGCATTTTCCCTGTACCAGGAACTGTTCTAGGAACTAGGGATAGAACAATGAACAAGAGACAAAAATCTTTTACATTTTAGTGAGGATCCTCAACCTTAAATTCTTCTATATTAAAAATCCTTAACATAAAAGAAACTTCTTGTTAATGAGTTTATCTCATTGTTAATGAGAGAACCTGTACATTACTAAGCAATTGGTTCCGTGTATTCTGGGTAGAAGAAAGTCTCATTCTGAAGGAAGGACTGAATTTGAGAAAAGTGGGAGAGGAAGAAGTAAGAGAAAACAAAAAGGGAGAATGAAAATACAGCAGAGGAAAAAGGAAATAGTGGAAGAAAATGGAGTAGGCACTGGAAGAAAGTTTGTCATTTCTCCCCTTTCCCTTCTCAAGAGGAAGATGGCTCAAACACTTTTAGCCATACTGAAGCCACCTGAATGATCTCCTTTTTAATTCAAATAGGCATATTTATTTGTATTTGTGAATGTCCCTTGGTAAGTTTTTAAGGCATTCCTCTTTTGAATGTTTGTCTCCTTCATTTTATATTAGATCCCATGTTACTTTTGCAGTATGTACTTGCTTAATTATTATCTGACTTTCCTTACTGTAATTCATTCTAATGCACTTGCTCATTCACTCATTCCTATCTTCCATCAAAGCTCCTAACAACTAATAATTTGAAAAGGCTTACCCCATCCCCTTAAACTAAAATTCCAAAAGAAAATTATAATCAATAATGAGCCACATGCACACAGGAAAGCCACTAGATATACTGGTGTGATTTCTAAAATAGCATTAACTTGCAAACACCACACAGAGGATGCATTTCCGATTATTACAAGACAATTGGTGTGGGTATGAAATCTGCACTTGAATATAGTCAGATCTGCACATTACCATAAGATTTTATATATTATAGCTCAATTTAAAAACCAATTTTCAAATTGGTTTGTATTGTAACAATTAATCTTACCCATACTGGTAAATGCCACTTAAAAACATTGAGGAAATTATATATAATTACAAAATTAATGGGATAGTCTATAACTTCTACCAATTTTCCCTTCTATCTTCACATTTAGAAGCATTTTCTAAATGAAGGGGAAAACCAAAGGAAATTTGGACAGTAAGTAAATGTGGAAAGGAGTGTCATTTTGATTACTAATCTTATGTATTCTATATACTCGGGGCCTTCCTGATGGGTCAGTTTCTGACAAAGATGGAAGACTTTATCTGTCCTTCAACATTTAATAAACAATCCCCTTTACAATACCCAAAAACACACACACAGTTTTCTACTTAAAGTTTGGGCTGCAAAAGTTTGCTTCTCCTTGTAAATCATATTTAAATTCCCAAGGCTTTCTTTCTGTACTTAAAAAAATATTTTTAATTAAAAAAAGCTAAACTGCAATCCATCAACTACAGTCTCACGTTTGAATATTTAACTTCAACTAACCGTTAAAGAACTTGCAAAGTCCTTCAGTGTTTCTCCTATGCAATCTCAAAAGCTACAACAAAGTTTGGATCATACATGTACCTGCAAACCACAGAAATCCAGCCATACATAGCATATACTTGTTTCTTCAGCTCATTTCCCACTTACCATCACCCCAATTAACTCTCCTTTGCAAAATCAAAGAAAGTTGAAGACCATAATAATTTATTACAACTGAAATTTGTTACCCAATTGAATGAGTTTACCAGCTTTTAAAATGCATACACAGCATTTTTTTAAATGATGGAACTTGTATTCTACTACTTGAAAGAATCAGAAAAAGAGATTGAAATGTTCAACAAAAGGCCTCCAGTGCTTCAAGGAGAATATAGTATCTAGTACCCATCAGGTTCAACAGCACAAATTCATTTTCACAGAGAGCTCTAAAAACCATGACTCCACCCCCTATACTTGGCTGCCTGGAGAAAAGTCACAGTTCCTCTTCACTGATGAAGGGCCCTGCAGGCAAAGGGCTGGCCTCAGCATTTACTATATGAAAGCTGAATGACAAAATCTCCTCAACTCAGGTCCCTGTTGGTCAACTTCTTGGAGTAATAGAAGCTATAATAATCAACAATAAAAAGATTGCTGCATTGAGAGTTTATGTATCTATGTATCCCTTAAGCCATGGAATAGAAGAATTCCCTTTTCACTACTATATCAAGTAAAAAATTCAGGCCAAGAAAACTACAGTATTCCATAGGCCGTGTAACACATTCAGACTCTACCTATATGAATTCAGTGATTGCTTACTTTAAAAATGAAACTCACCCCTATCACACAGGATAATCATATCTGCCCACCCTCATTGCACAAGGTTGTGGTAAACTTAAAATAAGAGATCTAAAAACCTCAAGTGCAAAAGAAAAAAACGTAAAGTGACATTACTACCAAGAGCAGGCTTCCATGAATGCCATTTGCATTTCAAAATGTTCTGGGAAGACATTATGATCTGTAGACCATGGAATCAATAAATCTATCCATCAATCAAATATTTATTGTGCATTACCAGAATGGTCACAGGTAGAGTACAAGGAGAGGAGAACCAAAATTGATCAGGCATAAATTGTTTGACAGGTATTGTGCTAGATCCTCTAAATACATTATTTCATTTAATCATTACAACTCTGTCAAAGAACTATTACTAT